AGGGTTTTAGGGTTCAGGGCTTAACGGGGATAGGTACCTGGGAAACCTCGGAGAGCCTTGAGCAGTACTAGGGAGGATTAGGAATAATTCTTCGCGACTATGTGGCTACCAGTCCCACTTGAACCAACCCCTCTAGAGGTCCTTGTAGTTCTTGGCATTTGCCAACAGAACTTGCAGCAGGTGCGAATCAAAACAAGTTATCACATGGAAACCCCAAGAAACCCGTGAACAGGGCGTTGCTTATAACCAAGCCTCTTCGTGAGGTAGTTTTCTAAGCCCTCTGAGCCTCGAAGTATGCTGCATGCTCATATCAAGTTCATGCGTCTCAGGCCAGGGTAAACTCCAGAATGAAAAGATTGGCCACATACCGTAACCCTGGAGCTCCATGTCTATAANNACCTACATCGGGCCCCAAAGTCTAGAAATTGTACCTACGTTGGGTTCTTGGAGCCTTAGGCTAACTTCAAGAAACAATAAATCGCAGAAGCAAGGAAGAAGAGTCACAGGTGGCTAGTTACCAGGTTGGTTCAACATGAGTAGCGCTTTTTTTGTGGTTGAACCTTAGAAGATAATATTCCTTATATAAAATACTATACCCAAAAGGAGGAGACAATCTTACTCTATACTGGGTACCATAGTATTTCGAAATAAAATGCTACACTAATGGGGTGCACGAGGTTGATGCAGGCGTCTTGCAAGGGCACCCATCCAATAAAGATCCGCCTGGACTTCTTCTTGAGAATTTGACCGAGAGCCAGGGGCAAAGAAACCGTGAAACTCAGCTTGAAGTCAAACCCAAAACCCAAAATGTGGATTCTTCTGGTAACGCTGATGCAGCTCTCCATCTACACAAGGGAAACTGGTCACCTTTTCGAGCAGTAATCTTCTAAAGCAGTGCCGGTAAGGATTTGCGCGCCCGAAGCCCAAACCCCACCATTGCTTGATTGGCAAGCTGAAGTCGAGATCCCACGCTCAAAACCCTAAATCCAAGCCCGGATCCCCAAACCCTGAACCTCAAACGCCATACCTTTGAACCCAAGCTGTTTAGACATGCACAGCGGCCTGCGGAAAAGGCATGGCGCCTAGGTGCAGCTCGGCTGCAAATGCACAGGGTCTAGGGTCTATGGCTGAGCTCAGGATTTGGGGATTATTGTCTTTGGGGCTATACGAGGCGGACCCCATGTTTGGAAGCGACGTTGGTTGTCTTGCGGTACGCTGAGAAACTAGTTTTCCGGAAGCCAATGCCCGATACTAGCGCTGAGCAGTCCACTCGACTCGTCATCGTCGACAAGGCTGCCTGATTCACATGGTAAGGGAGGATGGCAGGAGGTTTGATTCTGTTTGCGGCTGGAATCGTGGGCCTCTAGTGACTCTAGTACGTATCAGGAAACACAATACAAATCCAATGTTGGCCCGTGCTCAGGGGCCAAAGGTTAGGAGGGTTAGCTTTAGGTCCAGGTGTTGAGGGTTTCAAGCGCGATGTGCCAGGGTTTCGGAGGCAGACTGCACAGACAAAACACTAATCAACTCGGCGAGTTGATCTGTCTTCCTAGACCATCCATCTACCCTCTATATACCCTAAATAGGGACCATATACCCCTATTAAAAGGGTACAAGGAGGGTCCTGGTTCTCACGTTGCTACAGAGTTCCTTCCGAGGCGGCCATGGCAATAGTGAGGACAGTTAGGTGGATGATTTTCCCTCGCAATCCCTGGCAATGGGTTCTTTTCCTCCATAGTGAACCCAGCCCGACAGGTGAGAATTCTCGGATAGTACAAACAAAATTAGAGGAACCATCTCTTCATTCTGTATTTGTGGCCAAAGGGTCCATGTAGGCATGTGGTCTATACTTAGGGCCCAAAAGGGGTTCCCATATACATACCTTGAGGCACAAGTATATACCATACAGCTACATGGACTGTTTGGGTGGGTGGGACATGCAGACAGTATTGCGAACACTTAGGCGTACGGACGCCTCCTGTGGTTGCTGGCAGCCTACGCCGAAGAGCCATAACGTCAGCATCCCCAACCCAATTAACGCCTTGAGCTCAGGGTTTGAGGTCTAGGCTGCAAACGGGGGGGGGGGGGGGGGGGGGGCGGCAATTATAGGCTTTAAGAGGTTAGAATCTTGAGGATTGTAAGTTAGGGAGGTCCCAAACAAAAGGACCCCTGGGTTGCGGAAACCCCAGGTATCTTTTGCCCCAGAAGGTTTAGGAAGGTCTTACTTCTCAGGGTTTAGGGTTTGGATAGAAACAACGCAGCGAGTGACCCATTCATACCAGAGGTGAAGGTATATGTTGTGCATCACAGAGTGCAGACCGAACATCCAACACCGCAGGCACAGGAACATAATAGAAACCTGGATAGGTCCCAATATCATTCCTTGTATAAAAACCCTAAACCCAAAACTTTGAAGCTATCATCATTCTTTGTTAAATATTGCATGGTGGAGAGCAATGGAATTTTTCCAAGCCGCCGCAATCCCCATGGCCTGCCCCAGTAGCACGTGGGGATACCACGAAAGTATGATGACAAACCCAAGAAAAGGGATTCAAGGGGGCTTAAGTCTTAAGGGTTTAGGGTTTGACGGTTTAAGGGTTTAGGTGTGTAGGGTTTTAGGGTTTTGGGTTAGGGACGACAATTCCTCTTCGGGGTTCCAGACCGTTCACTCTCGGTAACTTCCTGTGCAGGGCCTGGGCCGCGGGTGTTGAAAGCTAAGGAGTCCTTGCGATGACGCCGAACGCTGGCAACTGGACGACTGGTGAGCACTACTTTCCTACTTTCTGAATCGTGTCATAATATGAGCTTTAGTGTAAACTCCTTAAAGGGGGTTATAGAGCGGGCTATATAGGGGAGTAGTATGGGGTTTACTAAAGGGTGTACTAGGAGTCGTTGAGACCATGGCTCATATGTGCGTATATGAGGGCCACACTAACAGCCTTATGAGCTTTTACCCTAGACAGTCATGGATTGCATGGACCATGTATGACCCAGGCTACATCAAGTTTGTCCCGGGTGCTGTGTCGCTCTCCAAGGCTTTGGCACAATCCAACGGCGTTGCTTGATTCATTTGTCTGGCCTGATAGCGTAACCAATGAAAGTGGCAAAGAAGATTGTTCATGGGTACGTGTTCTCTCTACCGCAACCCCTACAGTCCGATCCCTATGTAACCACCAATCATCGCCTTATGTTCCCTGCATGGTCTAAATTTGCTTGGTTTGTGCTGTTGTCCTCCAGCAGGCCCTTGAGCTTGGTATGTGGCCAATGGAATCTCATGATACCATGGGGTGTGTCTGTGTGTGCCAACAGCATGATCTTCAGTTGTTGGGGGGGTCATATGGTTGGATGCCTTGTGAGGCCCATTGTGTTGGCACATCCCCTACAGTCCATCAAGCGCCCTGTTCCCCTGTTGCTGCAGGCACTTGTTTACCATCCCCCTCCTTCCGCGTGCTGATAAATCCGGCTCAGGATCTGATGGTGTGGCTAACCGCGAACCGCCCATACGAGAGGAGCCTGGATGAAGCCCCATGTCTTCAACAAAGGGTTTAAACTTGCGACTGGTGCAGATTAGTGTACTGGCCTTGGCTCGAGGAGTGTGTTCAGGGAAGGCCAAGATTGTGGGTAGACGTAGGATTCTTGTAGTAGCCCTGTGAACTTGGTTCAGGCTTTCTTCGCGGCAACATTATCCCTTGTATTCCCGTAGGAAAGTCCGATTTTTGGCACACACGTACTTGAACCCCTTTGTACATGCCGAAGACAGGACCCAAGCGGGCAATTTGTAAAAATGTGCATCTGCAAAGAGACACACCCGGCCTCGTAGATAGTTCCCAGGAGTTAGAATCCTCAAACGAAGACCAGCAAAGATATGCTTTCAGTTTTCCCTTTAATTCTGTACCGTATGCACCTAAACTTGGCAATGTCGAGAGTCGAAAGGTCCTTGCAAACCTGTGCGGCAGCGCGGCCGCCTACTGCGTTGCAACCTACGTCCAGCACCCAACGGCTGATATTTCTTGGGATTTAGGATTTTTCGGGTTGAGGCTTCTGATAGAGGGAGCTCGGACTGGAGGTGAAGACTCAGGATTCAAGAGTTCCAGGGTTGCGTCTTGGGTGCTACTTTAAGGGGACTTTCTAAATTCAGGGTTTATCACAGAGTTGGGTGTGATCATTCCCTGTTCAAAACGCAGTGGATTTAACATTGCTAGCCTGTAGACAGACAGGATTTCATTTCCTGGTAGAAGGATGAGAGCTGAGGATTCAAGGATCAAGGCGAGGCCTGCTTGTGGGATCTTGTCAGCAGACTGGAAAACTATGTGACTGCCGATCCAGGCTTTCGTGCTGATGTGGCTTTAGATGTAATCCAAAACAGTATTGAACTCACGGAGCAGGAATCCCACTGTTTCGAACCATCCGTATTTGTTTACGACTGGATATTATAGCTATTCCGAAAACAGGCTCGAGTAGGGTCGAAGGACTTCCATTCAGATTGGCTTGTAGCGACTTCTGGTGAGTTGACGCTGATGGGGCGGGTCAGGTATCTACGCGAGGAAGTGTTTTGAGGCAGAAGGGACGTGAGATGGGCGGAGCCTGCTTCACCCGCAAAACTTCAATGGCCCACAGGTGAAGAGCATGAGCAGTCCCAAGCATGGACGTCAGTTTAATGACTTCTTCAGATCCCGTCTGCGCGCCAGCTTGATCAGATAGGGAGCATTCCTAAGATTGTCGCAGCAGGTTTGATGAGAAGATGTAGCATCCAGCAATGCTCCAGATTTGGCCTGACCCCCGCCGTCATTCTGGCAAGCGTGCCGCTGCTTGGTTTGGGTTGTTGCATGGCTGTGGCCAGCTTGGAGAGTGAATTTGGGTCTCGATGGCCACAGTTATCTGCCGCACTTGGCAAGCCAAAGCGATATGCGGCCTGGGTGAACCCGTTTGCTGCCAAAGGTGCTGCACACGAGTTATTGACATTGCATGGGCTAGAACCCTTGCCAGGCATTGCCGGTGAGGCACATTTGTGGGCACCTGCGCAGGCCGCAGACCAGCAATTGCTGCCAAAACCACCCACATGTTCTGTGACAGGGCTAAAAACTTACTATCCTCTTGACTTAGCCTCAGCGATGCCTGTGTTGGCCTTGCTGCGGGCCTGCGCATCCAGTACGCCCAGGGCAGCACTTGACGCATGCGCGGCACCGGGTGGCAAATTCCTTCTGATGGCTGGCGCCTTTCTCGGAAAACAGCGCCTGGGCCTGCACAGTCCAGACCTTGTGGCAGTGGAAAGTGACGCCTTCCGCGCAAGCCGTTTGAAGCAGAACGTGCGCTTGTACTTGCCAGAAGTCGCCTCACAGCGGGTGCGGGTGCTGCGTGCTGACTCTACACGAGCTCTCAGTCAGTTGCAGGCGGGTCCATTTGACGCTGTTTTGGTGGACGCCCCTTGCTCCTCAGAACGCGAGAGGCTCCTACGTTCTTTGAGGCGTGGCCAGCAGGACGAAGGTTGGAAAAAAACAAAGGCAGAAGCGAATGCTCGTCGGCAGGTGAGTTTACTAAGTTGCGCTCTGCAGAACACACTTCCGGGAGGCGTGGTCGTCTATGCCACCTGCGCTCTCTCTCAGATTGAGAACGACCTTGTTGTTCAAGCAGTATTGGATGACGACAAAAGAAACTGCCTGCTGTCTGTCGCATGTGATGTGCCTGGCGTAGAAGTAGAGTCCACTCATCATGGATGGCGAGTCTTACCGGATCTTCCAGGCGGCTGGGGTCCCTTATACTGGGCAGCTTTGACTCGTCGAACTCTTGCCAGACGATATTGATGGAACAAAACATGTGAGTGCATTTGTACGGGTCTTTGTGCAGTCGAATCCGTTGAAGTTGTTGCAAATGATTTAGTGAGTGCGATCTCTGGGTTGTCCCAGGTCTTGGGCATCGGGGATCGGCACCTGGACAACTTGCAGATAACCCCAGAGGGGCACTTCTTCCATATCGACTTCGGCTTCATCTTCGGTGAGGCGCGCACTTCTTTTCGTTGAGCCATGTGATGCACAGAATTCTGTAGCCTCATGTTGGACCCAGCGTCCTCTACCAAGAGCAACCAAGATGGCAGCCACACATTGGATGATTAATTCGGTAAGGATCAGGGGACTGCAGCACCTCAATAATGAGAAAAGTATATGATACGCGTAAACATGCAGGACCCAAAGCCTTTCGCACCTCGTCTGCGCCTGCCACAGCAGATCGCGAGTGCGCAGCCCTCAGTTTGCTGCACAACCGCCAGCTCTCTGGGACGGTCTGTGCATGAGAGGTCATGTTTTCCGACTGACGCATTTCTGTAGCACATGAAGTGTTTCTGTGTAATATACGTGCTTGTAGCATGTTGACCAACATTGCGCCTGCTGAAAGCACAGGTTCTGCAAGTCTTCATGTTATCTGTTGTGCTGTCCATGGAGGTTCTGATGGCTGTCAGTGATGCGGAGTCGGGCGGCGCCTCTCCAGCATGACTATTGGAATCAGCTGGTCACAGCGCTAGTTGTGGAGCACTTGCTGAGATGGATCCGCTGCCAGTGGCCATGCAGTCTGTGTGGTACTTGCAAGTACCGGCTTGGACTGTTTTTGCTAGGTTTGGGGGGTTGAGAGTCTGTGGTTTAATCTCATGCATTTAGCTTTGCAAGATTTAGGCTCCGTGGTGAGGTACCATGCTGGACAGATGTTTCCTGCTAGCCGGTCGCGCGTACATTGCGCTGAGACGCTCCATGCCCCTGTGGCCTGGCATTGTCACAAGTTCAGGTCGGAGCCGACAATGCACTTAGGGCATATAGGGTTTAGGGTTGGGTACATGGAGGCCATTTCAAGTTCTACATGAGAAACTGCAGGCAGTTCTGCTCCTTTGTGCGTTGCAGATCGATAGTGTAGGGCATGGAGTAGTCTGCCTGGTTGATCCTTCTGTGAATTTGATTGTGGGCAGTCCTTGTACTTGAACGTTCAACGCGAATCCTACAAACCTATACCCCACACACCCCTAAGCTCTCAAACCTACCTACCTGGCTCAGGTGGGTGTCCCTCCTGCGAGTTACAGGCCAAGGAGGTGGTGCAGGTTGTGCACGCCTGCGAGCGGACGCGAATGCAGCTGTTGTTGTCGTTACTGCTGCTTGTCTTACGTGATGAACGAAAACACTTGCGTGTTCACAGTTGTTTTGGGGGCTCATTGTGGCAAACCTTCGCAAGGGGCTGACATATTCCCACAGAACCCAGGCAACCCCTAGTGTGAAGAACTGCACATTTTGCCCCAAGTAATCCCAATCAAGGTCATATCAGCCACATGAAGTCCCCCATGCCCTAAAACCTGGGTGGAGGCTTTAGTGTTTAGGGCTTCCTGGGCCAGGGCTTTTGGGTTCAAGAGGCGCAAGAAACATGGGATTTGTCATGAGAAGCCTCAGGGAGACCTTCCTCAGAGGCCCTTGAGCGAAGGTCCATGACACTCTTACACACTGGGCCTCGGACACTAATAAAAACATCTGGCCTCAGAACGTTCGGGAACTGGTTGATATCCTGCGAAGTTCCGTGTGCAGGCAAAGGCTTTGCTAATATGTTTCTTGGGAGCTGTGCAGGACAAACATGTCTTGACTTGGTTCCAGGCGTCGGGCGTATTCCATGGGGCCACTCAACCGTTGGATTCAGTCACAGCTAGTTTTAAAACTTAGCAATAGCAATAAGAACTGTAATAATCTTTCTTGAGTTTAGTAACACTTGCAAGTAAACCCTATAAACCCTAAACCCTCGTATAGACCCCAAAAAATGATCCAAAATTGTGAGGACCCCGGGGGACCCCCCCCTCGCAATGCTTTCTTTCTAACCCCCTACATAGTCCCGCTTTTTTTTATATTTCCATCTTCTTTTTAATTTGCTTCTCCACTTGGGGATACTGTACTTAAATCCTAAACCCTGCATGAACCTTTTCAACCCCTAAATCTTGGTGTATATATGTACATACATACATATGTTTCTATGTGCGATATGAGGTTCCGCTGTTGCCGGTTCAGTCTTCGCTAGCTACAAAGCGGCACCATGCGTACGCGCAAGTTTCGGACTGTCCCATGTAGGCGCCAGTATCGCGCGAGCGTGGCGCTGGGTATTCCTTTGATCACACGGCCTATGGTAACGGTTTCCAAAGATGACATGGTACGCGCTGAGGATGCTTGCGTGCGAAAAATTAGCCTTTCGGCTTGTAGGGTAGACTAGCTGGCGTCGAGGGCATGGTTCGGCGAAAGGTGGAAATCCGCACCTGTAGGACCAATCTCAAACCTTTTCTCCTCCCAGAGAGTGACAACTGAGTGAGATGTCCAGATGCGCGGCAGTGTTTGCTCCGTATGCATTCTGCCAGCGTGCCCAAAAATCTAAGTCATGAGGCGAAATATGCGCTAGGTTGGCGCTAGCATCGCGCTAGCAAATATAGAGGGAAACGGCCTGCGGTGACCACTTTATGCCATCTAAGACATAAAAAAGTACTAAGACATCTGATTCCAAGCATGGCCGTCATGGAAGAGCTGGCGGTGGCCTTCCTTGGCAAAATCCTAGACCCTACATTCCCGCGCAGCCCGCCCCCACCCATTACGAGCGGGTCAGCCATTGAAGAAATTCTTCAGTCTACACACCATTGGGCGGAACCGATGGTGGATGGACGAATGGAGACGACGCGCGGGTCCTAAAATGAAGGCGCTAGTGTGTTTTGTGAGGTTTTTGTTTGCATAGGGTACAAGAGTCAGTACTACTCTTCTTTGTTTGCCAAAGCCGTCATTCCAGACCTTCGTTTTCCTTTTCGTCATAAGGCACCATGGTTTTTGCAGCGTTCGCCGTTTCTGGAAGAACATCGTAATGTAGACCATTTTGACTCTGAAAACCTTCAAGTAAGCCTAATTGTTGGTGTGCATATACATCTATGGATAACGTATACCATTTTTACTGACAATACCTTCACGTAAACCCTAAGCCCAAAACCGCAAACCCGACGTGAACCCTAAGAGTCTCAAAGTTCCAGGCATCCTAAACCTAAACCCCAAACCCTAAACCCTGAAGCTTAAACTCTAAACCTCATGTATATCATCCCTTGGAGAAGGTCCCAAAAAACAACATGTATATACCATGATTCCTACTAACCCCCTAGTCCCCTAGAGTCCTACCTCCCAATATAGACCCTAATATACACTAAACCTCAAATATCCCTATATAACCCTATATAACCCCTATATCCCCGTTAAGGAACCATATAACCCTAAAGCTCCTTTAACGGGATCCTCGCCCAGGATCGGCTTCGCAGCGACCTCGGAAGCCACGGCGAGGAGGAGGCTGCCTCGGAGTTCCTCATGGCCACCCATCAAAATTCGGTGGATACCAAAAATCTTGCATGACCCGAGGTACCTTATACCTTGGGAATCATGGTACTATAGTATACTAGGGTCATGCAGGATTTCTAGTATCAAGAGTTGGACACATTCTTTGGGGTTTAGGGTTTGGAGTTTGGGGGTTTGGGGTTTGGGGTTTAAGGTTTCGGGTTAGGGGTTTGGAGTTTAAGGTTTCGGGTTTGGGGTTGGGGTTTAGGACACATTCAGTCGGGGTTATAGAGGGATGACATCGGATTAAAAAAAGGATCATATAGGGTCGTAGAGATGGTTTAGGGGTTTTACAGGGATTATAACGGGTTGTAGAGGGATTATATTATAGGGTTGTATAGGTACTATATAGGGTTGTATGGGGACCATGTTGGGTGTATGTCGGGGTTATATGGGGGTCATGCTATAGGGGTTGTATAGGGATTATGTAGGCTTATATAATAGGATTATACAGGGGTTGTATAGGGATGATATAGGGGTTACATAGGGATTATATATGGTAGTAGAGGGATGATCTAGGGGTTATATACATGGGGATCCTGTAGTGTAAAGGGGTTACCTAGGGATTATATAGGGTTTATAGGTATGTTGGGGCTGCGCTGAGATCATATTGGGGTTCTACAGGGTTTGGGCTACAGTACTGGAGAATCACATGTCAAACAAAACTGACTATTAGATGGACATTTCAACGAAGGGCGAAGGGTGCAGGACTCAGGCTTTAAGTTTTGTAACTGCGGCTGAGGGATTAGGAAAAGGTTTAGGGCTTAGGGCCAGGAGACGTTAATCGCCTTCTAGATAGCTGATATAAGATAGCTACTAATGTTGTAATATACCCTAATTTAATATAGTAGTTTCCATTTTCCTTTTCCATTTTCCCAATATCACCCGGTTCCTTGTGTTTGGGCAAATCTGACTGAACTGACCTGGTCTCCCCTCAAATGGATGTAGCAAAAAGTTCAACAAATGTTTTGAGGGTAGGTTGTGGAGTTTAATAGTCAAAAGCCGAGGGATGCTCCAACTCTACAGAAAACACGACAAAACACGATGACATGTGTCCTGCCAAAGGGGACAGTCCTGTTCAGTCATGTTCACCGCTAAGGTCCTCACAGAAAGTACAGAGGCGCTGTATCCCGCCCCTGGGCTGCTTCTCACAGTTCGTGGGTGGGTGCTCAGATAGTAGGAGTTGGATGGTTCCTTTCGGACAGGAAGTGCAGGAATTCCATCCAAACCTCTTCGGACATAGCCGAATTCCCCAGAAGCCCTCTACCTACTTAGAACCCTCTGCGCACACGCCTTGGCGACTCGTCAGTGATGTGATCCAGCAGGATCCTACGATTCTCCCTAAGTGCAGAGGAAACACAATCCCCCCGCCCCCGCGCACGGTACCATTTTTAACCAGAACGTAGAATTTGCAAGCGGTGCTCTTAGCTTATTATCGGGGAGGTACTGTAGTGGAGTGACTTTAAGGGCTTGCATGCTTTAGACTTGTTTAGCCCCAAACCTTAAACCAATTCACACGATTATTGTTGCATTTTCCCTACAGCTTTTACAACCCTTGCCAATAAAACCTATCAGTCCCAAGGTGTAGCTTGAAAGCTTCCTAAAGCCTCCATCCTAAAAGTATTCGCCTCCTCTTAACTAGTCAAAATGTCCCTTCTGGGATCACACTGAAGAAACTGTTGTAACTTGTACGTTCTGACCTGGAAAATGCTGTTCCGGGCTGTAAATAGTAGATCTGGTTGTCAAGAGTGCCTTCTGGCTGTGAATTGTCGTCATCTTCCCCCAAGTTTGAACAAAACATGGTTTTTTTTGGCTTGCCAGGAAAAAGAATTCACTGTCAAAGAACATGAGCATTTGCGTTTGGTTTCACATAGGGACTGCTTACATACTTGATCTGGGCTAGAAGTCCTGCTGCAGGGCTTGGGATGTTGAACAGGAGACGTATACAGGTGCCCTTCGCAAGTAATGCGCGTTTCTCACGAGCAGTATCTGGTCTCCAAGATGTAGGAAGAGTACTTTGCGGAAAGGCAGGTGCCCTCTATTCGGTCATTGAGAAGCTTTATATCACGTTCTCGCATTGCTCTCACCTGTGTTCAGCATGTGCAGGTGAAGCTGGTATGTGCAACCTCTCGGTTGGCTTCGATGTTGTTCAGATGTCTTCTCACCTTGTGTCCAAACTCATGCATTGTGCACATTTGAAATGTCAAGCTTTTCCCAACACTACACCAAGATTGCTACAACATCATGTGCTTGATCAGGGTTCAGAAGAACATTCCTTGAATACGCACCAAGTCCAAAATCGATGCATACGACAACTTTTTCTTGTAGGAGATGCGCGCGACCACGATCCTAAGTTATCTAGCATTCAACCCAAGACCTTTCAAGACGGAGCGCACGAGAACCAAAGAAAACGGACGTAATAACGCTCTCAGCATGATCTTCCACCGGCCATTCTGTTGCTTCTGCCTCTTGGGGAGCGAAATTACAGTTTTGGATTAAGCAGCCATACCTTGAAGGAGGTCCTAGCGTCAGGAATTTCCAGGATTTTTCATGTTTCGAATGTTTCGAGTACATCTCCAAGTTTGGCAACTACCAAGCTAGGGCTTGCGCACTTGAATCTTGGTCTGCAGCCCAAAGCTCCGAGCACTATAGTATTAGGTTTAGGCCGATATAGGTTATATAGGGCTATATAGAGTTATATAGGGTTTAGGATTTAGGGATAAGGGTTTCCCAAAATTTGGGGTACTACCCCCTAATAGTGGCGAATCGCATGGAAAAGAAAATGGAAAATGACATGGAAACTGGGGTTATATAGGCATTTACAGGGTTCAGGGTTTCCCAAAAAATTAGGGGCACCTTATTGGGGGTCCCCATAATTTGGACTGTTGTATTTGGGAAACTATTATTTTCCGGCCGATGTTGCACAATGGCAATACACAGTGACCCTAGCCGGTAGCCTAGAGACAATGCAGAGAAACCTAGAGCACCTTGCTGTGTGTACCATTAACCCTGCTTACTCATGTAGTTGGTTATTTCTCAAACTAATCTCTTCATAATCCCTCATATGGACCACCACTCGTGTCCTTTTATCTCTGCAATACCCTGCCCTCAATAGTGACCTTAAACACTAACCATCTAGCCCCCCTTGAGCAGATAGAAGATGGGGTATATGGGGATCTCTGTATAATATACCCAAAGCCATATTCTATCCCTAAAGCCTGAACCCTATAATATACCCAAAGCTATATTCTATCCTTAAAACCTAAACCCTATGATATACCGAAAGCCATATTCTTTTTACTTAAGGGGGACTATGCCTTGGTCTGAGGTTCTCACCGACAAGGTCCATCAGCTCGGTCTTTTCTGGAAGTGAGCGCAAAGCATCCCAAGAATAAGGAAGGAAACTACCATGTGAGTAGTATTTTATTTGGGGATACTATGGTACCCAATATCGTGTAAGATTATATCCTCCTTTTGGGGTATGGTATGTTATATCAGGAATATAATCTTACTATGTTTAACCACCAAAAAAACACTACTCATATGAGCTATAGCCTAAAGTCCGTAAAGGGGGGTTATATAGGGCTTATACAGGGACTACCATAGGGGTTATAAAGGGGGATACTAGGAGTTTAGTCAACTGCTCATATAGGGTTTAGGATTTAGGGTTATATAGGGATGATGGAAGAGAAAATAGAAACCATTATATTACAGGGTTATACAAGGAAGGACCATGAAGGTCCAGGGTGTAGGGCATTTCGGCAAACACGCGGGTGTAGTTTTTGGGGTTCAAGTTAGACACCAAAAAGGATTCTTAGGAAATCCACTTGTATTCCATATTAATACTCCTGGGACCCTAAAAGAATCATGCAGATCGCGACCGGCTTTTAACTCCCACAATGCGAGACGCATGGATGAAGGGAGCGATGTGGGAGGACGGCTTTGGGTTTTGGACAGCCTACAGTAGTCTCTTCAGGAAGATCCGACTATGGAGCCAGTTCTGGGGCTTAGGTTTGAGCAGGCATGGGGTTGTGTGAGTGGTGATTGGTATGAGGATTTTCTTCGAAAAGAGAGAGAGCCCCAAGCAACCCTGGGTGTTGTTGGGAGTACACGGGTTCCACTTCCAGAATGGATAGGGATATATAGGGATTGCTTTTATACGTGAGGGTGGGGTGATTGAGGTAAAGCATCTCTTGCATAAACCTGCTCCTCTTCCCATGTCTTCTACAGCTGATCGTGGCCGGATCAGCTCAAAGCCAGTGTTTTGGATACTGCCCCCACCCAAGAACAGTTGGATAATACGTATTTTTACTATACCCTATATATGTAACCACATAAACTAAGCCCTGTTCATGGGTGGAGCAAAACCCAACCAGTTGTTATCAAAGACCGGGCGCAGCGACGACTCTTTGCATGCACCTGCTTAAGGCCTGCAAGGTACCCCTGAAAACCCCATGGACAAGCAGAGATCAAAAGCGGAATGCCAGTTTGTTTTTCAAGATTGGGGCTGTTTTCAGACAGTCAGTCTTGAGTGGGGCTACCGGCATGACAATCACACCCAGTGCCAAAATTGAGATACTTCAGCCCTACAACTTCGCACGAATCTCCAAGTAGCTTGAGCGTGATCGACCGCAAGGTGTTTCTTGTCATTTAAATTTCCAATATAGATGGCATAATATCACAGATTACCCACACTTTGTCCATCGACGACGGCGCACGGCTATCTTTTTAGCAGCGTATGTCAGATGGCAGCATGATCGACCGATCATGGCGGCACACCTGTTCCTTCGCCACTCAGACTCAGTGTCTGGCCAGCAACATGCCAATGGCCTAGGGGCCAGGGCAAGGATTGATTCAGTCGTGTTTCACCGTGTTTCAACCTGCTCGCGTCTTGCCGCGACTTGCCGTGTTTACAAAAAAAGGGCCTTGGTGGCCCCAAGCAATATAATACTAAAACTCTCACCACCCAAGTATTATTGAATATTCCCTTTATAATATATTATAGATGGTTGGGAAGATTTGATATTAGGGGGGTGGGGGCAGGGGCATGAGTCCACCTTTCACCTGCTGGAATTGCGCTAAGGCAGACACAGGGATCGGCAGTTCCTGATTTGTTCATTTGTCAGTCGCACCCCGCAGAGGGGATAGCTGGTGAACACGTCTACTTGCCCTAAAATTGTATGTAGTCTGTGCCGCAGGCATCATAGCTAGACCATGTCCCTAGCACCACCACGTCACAGCAGGCCCTCAGAACACTGGACTCGCAGCCATGCAAAGCCATGAAACCAAAGCCCTAGCTGCCAGAGGGCCAGGTCATGTGAGAAGAGTGTAGAGACAAAGATGCCGGGTATAGACCCCCTGGGTGGACAGCTGGGCAACGAAAGCGCACAAAGTTGCTGAGAACGAAAAGCTTCAACCGCCTCCCGCAACTTCAAACGTCGAATCCACTTTCTTGCAATTCCCCTTTCTGGCCTCATGTTGGTCACATACTTCAGCTATAGGTAGAATACAACCGTAGCCGTCTGGCGCTACGAAGTACACCTAACACGCTGGAGCTGATGGATGGTTCCCATGCGCCGCAGCCCGTGGCCCGGCAGCCTTTGCCTTCTGCTTGCCAAGCCCTCGGATGAGAAGTCTCTTTAAATGTGGATGGAGGCGAATCTAACAACAACCTGTGTGTATGTGTATCCAGACCTGGAAGAAGTAACATAGCAGTCAATTCTGTAAAGCACCTTCCCAGCCTTTGACGTCTTACGTTCCTGTGCACGAAAGCGGTTACATCTCACATTCTTGCGGCCGCAGTACAGTAGGCTTTTAGTGGAATTGCAGCAGAAAGTGACCCTAGGCCGAATCCTCGTGCGCGGTTTTAGCCACCCTGTAGACGCGGTAGAGTATGCAAAGCCCACAAATGCTAGCCCTCGCAAGAACATGATTGACGTCTTGAAAACCTGCGCACGCCTCTACTTGCATCAGTACGTTTGCATATATGGCGGTTGTCCGTCACAGGATCAGTATCAACCCTGACACAAACTCAAAACTGCTGTCAACCGCATATCTTGGGCTTGTTTTTTGGTGAGGCGCGCAGGCCATTTCATAGTGGTAGAATGGTTGTGTCGGAGAAGGTCAGCTAGTCATTTTATGGCGAGCAGGTGGTTGCAATGGTATTTTACATTCATGCGCTGCAAACCCACGCCAGGCATTTCATAGAAAAGTGCTATTTCAGTGGTTCATGCCCACTCTCCTCGGGTACCCATTTCATAGACCACTTTCGCTATAGAAAGGCTATCCGGAGTCCGCCTGGGATATTCAAGGGGGTTCCGCATGGAATCCATCAACCTCTACAATATCTGCATACAGCCGAGGAAGCCCCATGTGGACCCCCTAACAAGCTGAGCCTCAAAGCCAAACTGCAGAATTACCTCATGATGGCGTGAGGGGGTGGATGATATGAGACAAAAGTCATGAACCCTAGCCCAGGCTGTCACCAGTTCAGATTCTCACCACAAGCCAATGCCGGGATGATCGTGTAATCGCAGGAAATGCCATGATCCTGGGGTCTGGGGCGTAGGTGCTACTGTAGTTTTGCACGCTTTCTGGTTCGAAGCGCGCATAGGGCCGGGTCGATGCGTTCATGACTGGTCAATCCCAGCCAGTCAAGAGAAGACTTAAGCCATTCTACATCTGCAGCCCTTCCCTAGGAGGAAACTATGGTTTCTGTTTAGGGTTTAGGGAAAAGGGTACCCCAGAAGTTTGCAAATGCACGGGCTAGCGGTCAGTTGCAAGGTGTCCATCAATGCGCCGCCGTCCTTTCAGGCGCAGCTCGCGTAGACTGTAGAGAACTGGATACTGCAATCTTACTGGGAAGAAGGGAGTATGATCCCTTTATGACAAATTTCGTTATTCCCCCAACAGATAGAGGTAATATAGGGTTTATATTCGATTGTGCCCTACTGAGAACCAGTAGGTGATACTCAAAGTGGTCTAAGGCGACTTGCTGCCAACAACAGATGGGAGGGTGTGAAAGACGCAAGTAGGGAACAGGGGAATATAATCCCTATATAACCCCTGTATAATATATTCCCTGCTCAGAACCAGTAAGTCTAGGACTTGTGCTTGCTGAGTCGGATGCTCTCGGTGTAGCCACGAACAGAATGCAACCATTTCCTTGCACACTGCTTCTGCACGGTTTGATGCTGCGGTTCTTATCCTTCCAGTCTGAAGCAGAGACCGTGTGGCATCATCCTCCATACCACCATTGTCATCATCGTGGTTATCACTGTTGTTGCCTGCTTCCTGTCCCCCTATTTCCCTGCCTTGTCCTGGATGTGTTGTTCACCACTGAGACAAGCAAACGCGTTCCGCCTGGCCTCAATGACTCAAGCTGCCTTCGGGGAGCCCCAGCCTTGTAACAATGCAGGCTCAGGCGTTTACGTGGCATGGCATGGGCTGTGCCATCTTTATCTGCTCGCTTGCTCCGGCTGCTGGCCTTGCTCAGAGACCGCTGGAGCAGTCCCTCGCAAACCTCGACTTGAACAATCGCACGGAGTTGGAGCGGCTTTTGGCATTTCTCCGTGCTGACATGGAGAAGGGTCATGCCAACATGGACAAGGCCGATGGATATCTGGATTCCCTTCGTGTCGAGCATGGGTTCCCACCCATTCATGACAACTGGACCAGCATGATGGCTGGGGACCACTCGGAGAACTTTGTAGACGAATCAACATATGTCTTCTCGCTGCATGAGCGCATCCAGCTGCTTGCGGTGGGGACTCTGGCAGCCGTGTGTCAGCTAGGATGGATAATTGCAGGCTTGGTTTACCAGTCTTCTCCCAAACACACACCCCTGCCGCATCAACTGCGTCCTCACTACGGCGGCCCTGGCTTCGATTATGGCCTATGCGAATCTGGGTTGCTGTTGAGGAAGTCAGAACAAGATGCCCTAGTGAGTGCCGAGCGTGTACTACTTCATGCGTAGGCATTTCTGGCAAGTTCATAATTCCCAGTACATCCACATTCAATTTTCTATAACCCTGAACATCAAAAACTCAAAACCTCAACCCTAAATTCATGTGTGGGCTTCGCAAAAAGGGTCCTCCTTGCATCAAGACTATGAGAATCCCTGCGGTAGGGACTCCCAAACAGAGACCCCGAATGTTAACGCTACATGGTGTTTGCCACCTCGGCCTGGCTCGAGCTGCGTCATGCGGGCTGGACAAGCCTTGCAGTTCAATTGGGTGGTTCCCAAAATTAGGGTCAATTTTGATACCCCTAAATCTTAGGTGCCTAAAATAATCTCCAACCAAAATGGGACCCTAATTTTCGGAGCTACCCAAGTACGTATCCCAACGAAAACCAGTCCGTGCTGCAACTTCC